ACTACTACTACTACTAGTACTACTACTACTACTAGTACTACGACTACTACTACTACTACTACTACTACTACTACTACTACTACTACTACTACTGCTACTTACTACTAGCTACTTAAAGCTACTACTGCTACTGCTACTGCTACTTTAACTACAACTACAACAACAACTAACTAAATCTACTACTAGTGCTAGTACTAGTACTAGTCCTACTACTACCACTCCATGATGCTACTGATTGAAATTACACATACCGAACCATCACACACATGCAAATTGCGGTTGAGTAGCAGCATTGCTGTCGTAACCTTGAGCAGCGAAGCCATCTGCTCAACCACTTCTTGCCCTTGAACAACCGGCAACGGCAGCGGTGGCGGCGGCAGCAACGGATTCGCCAGCGGCGGCATCGGAAAGCCGAATGGCACGTTCAACGGGTTCAGAGGCTGGCTCACGGGCGCTGGCTCTTGCTGCGGTCTTGCTCTGTGCTGCAGCGGCTGTTGCCGAGGGTTGAGCGGCTGCTGCTGTTGCTGCGGCGGGGCTCTCTGCTGCAGCGGCTCTTGCCGAGGGTTGAGCGGCTGGTTCACGCGTGCGGGCTCTTGCTGCGATGTTCTCTGCTGTTCTTGCTGCAGGGCTCTCTGCTGCAGTGGCTGTTGCTGAGGGTTGAGCGGCTGCTGCTCTTGCTGCGGCGGGGCTCTCTGCTGCAGCGGCTCTTGCCGAGGGTTGAGCGGCTGGTTCACGGGCGCGGGCTGCTCTTGCTGTGATGTTCTCTGCTGTAGCGGCTGTTGCTGACGGTTGAGCGGCGGCTGGCTCACGGGTGCCGGCTGCTCTTGCTGCGGCGGGGCTCCCTGCTGCAGCTGCTGTCGCAACGGCTGCCACCGCGGTGGCGGCATTTCTGGGACCTGCGGCGGTGCTGCTAGAAGCCCTTGCTGAGTTTGTGCAGCTGAAGTTTGTGGGGCTGGTTGCTGTTGCCGTGGCTGTGCCACTTGCTGCGGCCGCTGCGAGGAGGGGGGGGGAGTCTGAGGAGTTGGCGGGGCTTGTTGGACCTGCTGCTCTTGCTGTTGCTGTGCTGGCTCAGTTATTTGCATTGGCCGTCCTTTTGGCCGCGGAGTTAGCGGGGCTTGGGCTTGGTGCTGCAGCCCTGCTGGTGGTGGGCTTGCTGCGGCTGTGGCTGGACTTGCTCGTGGCATTGGCATTTCTGGTCTTGCTGAATGCCTTGGGTTTAAAAGGCTCTCAGGTGGTCTCCTTGGACTTGCTGCGGCTGTGGCTTGACTTGCTTGTGGCTTCAGTGCTTGTTCTGGCTGCGGCCTTGCTGGGGGGCCAAAGCTGACGGGTGGTCCAATTGGCTGGCGGGGCAATGCCGCAGGCTCTGGCTCAGGCAGAGGCTGGGAAGGCATGTTCACCTGTGCTGGCGAAGTTGATTGTGGCTCCACGGGCTCTGGTCTGTCCTCTGGTCTGCTTGGCTCTGCTTTACATCTGGCCACGAGTGGTCTGCTTGGCTCTGCTTTACATCTGGCCACGACCACTTGAGGAGCCTTGGCTTTGTTGAGGACCTCTTGCCGTGCAGCTCGTTGCCTGCAATATAACTCTTGCGTGCCAACTACCTGAGTCCAGCCATGGATGTGACGACTGAATAATATAATACTAATCTTTAACAAGTAAGTCTTAAAGGTTAGTTTTATTATCAAGATGCCAAGTCACGCCAAACCGTTTAAGCGTGTGTCGGAGTACGGCGCCTTCCCCCTTTTTTTTCTTCTTCTTCTTCTTGCTCCGGTCCTCGTCGCCCCCCTGCTGCTCGGGCCAGTGCCGGTGTTCATTCCACTGCGTGGCACGGTCATTCCACTGCTGATCTTGCCACTGCTCATCTTGCCACTCATTCCACCGCCACTGCTCATCTTGCCACTCATTCCACCGCCACTGGTCATCTTGCCACTCATTCCACCGCGTGGCACGGTCATTCCACTGCTGATCTTGCCACTGGTCAGCCATGGAAGCGGAGCTACTACGTGTCAGTGTCTACTCGTCTTCACTCACTCTACGTTGTAAAAAATATAATTAATTAATTATGCTTCTGAGTCTGACTGAGACAACCTGGTCAACTGCGGACGCACTGTTCTTGCTGACTCAATTCAACCTTGACGTGAAGCCAAATCTGACAAATGGTCAACAACCGCTGATTCGATTATTGATCTGATCAAAAGCCCACTGCAGAAAACCAAACCACCCGGGTCTCCTCCTGCTAGAAATCTGGCACGACGAGGCATGCGGAGGTCTGGCCTCGGTAGTCAATCTGGCAATTCACTTAGCATGAATTTTGTATATTATTATTAATTGATTTGAATTTTGTATATTGATTGATTGCCTTGGGCAAGTCTCTAACTAATGTCTAACATTTTTTACAAATGTTCTTGCCTGTTTGGAGATTGGTCCCGGTTTAGGGCTCGGAGTTGGGTCTGAGGTCAGGCAGAGTTCAAGTCTGATGGCTTCGGGCAGCTAGCAAATCGGAATCTTGCGCGGGAGAGGGTGGTTCGGTTTACACTTACGACTTACATTCAAAGCTTGCGGAAGCTCCGTATTTATCAGGGGGCGTTCGTCATCGGTTCTTACGCTCTCGGCAGGGTTAGGTCTTGCCCTGAAATTCCCACATCAAGAAACACATCACAGTCTTATTATACACTGTAACACTGACTACTCAACCCAACAACCATCAACCAATGGCCAATAATATCAGTTCAATACGACGTAACTAGTTGCTTGCTGGAAGAATAATCTTACTCTGCATTGACCCTCCTTTCTAATCTTGCGACCGCCCGGTCGGCATCCTATGGACGTCTGTTGATCTTACACCTTACTCCCTACCGTCTCTCCATATAGTGACTTTGCTATCTCTTACTCGTACGACCTCACGGCCGGCGTCCAAATGGACGTCTTGCTAATTCTTGCCGTATTACGACTCGGCTTCCCAGCCGCTGTTCTTACGACCTCACGGCCGGCGTCCGATGGACGTCTTGCAAAAACGGGCGCGACCTCCCGGTCGACCCGGCTAGCGTAAATCTTACTCCTAGACCCGGGCACGACCTCACGGTCGGCCCATTAACTCCTAACCCGAATCCTTAGGCGCTCACCCGGAAACCCTCACTGAGTACTTTGCCCGGGCTCCCAGCATCACCATGATCTTGTCCAAGACGTGAATGCTCTCTTGCTTGGGCTGGGCTTGCGGCTTCAGGAGGGCTGCATGGTGGGGTTGGTTTCTTTTCTTTCGGGTCTTTGGGAATAGGGTTCTTACAATGGACTCGGGCCAAACCCTGCAAGACTCGCAAACCCCAAACCCTCCCAACTGCAGCGAAGCCGAAGTCTTGCCCTGACTGAACCTTCCCCCCTTCCCAAAACAAAAAGACACAGCAGCACGCATGATTATGATGACGATGATGATGGTGAGTATCTATATGTGTTCATATTTGTTGTTGCTATTAACTACATTCTTTATGCTGCTAACAGTTAGTAACAATGTAATTGCCTAAGCCTCTGGCTACACTATTGTCAAGTTTGTTCTTTCGACTCAACTGTTGTTTATTCTTTCTGGTTACAAGCAGAGGGATGATCGTGATATTATTGTACTCAATCTTGCTGAAACCTGCTGATTATAAAATAGTACTATTGTTCTTGTTAGCCAGTATTCAGTGTTACAACAGGCAAAACCACGAATAATCTAGCTAAGTCAAAGTGTGTATTTAATTATTCATCACTTATACGGCAGTATGTTTTGATTAGTGTTGACATCATATCATACACAAGTTCATAAAGCTGCTTAATTATTATACAGAACCACTCAAAGAAAATAGATGCATATCCAGGACACACATGTTCTGCGTCCAAATTAAGCAATCAGGAAACTGAGTTTTTTTATTATTGATACTATTAGAATATGAATTGGGATCGTACCGGTGATAGGCAGGCCCCTGTGAGAAATAGTGTGCTGATGATGAGTTATTTAAAAATTATTGTTTAAATTGTTACCACTAGCGATAGTATCACAAATTGAATAATAAGAAATAGCTAACAAACAATATACTTTATTGACAATGGCCTGTATGGACATTGATTATCAATTAGTAACTCTGAACAGCACACTAACAAGTATTCTGCAAGTTAATTGTTCATGACAGGGTTCCCATATTATTCATCTATGACTAAGAATACAAGCCATTCAGGCTTCGAATGCAAATCTATTATACTATGAGCCATTCGTGATAAGGTTAAAGTATGCACATTATTGCTAATACTTTTTAGTTTATTAGTTTTTCACATTCATTGTAATTTCACCTTTGTATTTTTTGAATATAAATATTACTAAAATTATTAATATGAGACTTAATAAATATTTGTATTTAATACATCATTAATAATACTAGTATTAGTAATATTTAATTACTAATTTAATTAGTGTATTAGTATTATTAGTTCTGTTGTTACAAATTATATTGAAATATCAGTATCATAAGTACTAGTATTTAAATAAATTTAAGTATAATAATAATTTATGTAACATTAGTATTAGGATTTAATTAGTATTAGTATTAAACAAATTAGTATTAGCATTAATATTAGTATTAGTAGTTATTATTAGTAGTATTATTATATTAGTATTAGTATTATTAGTATTATATTAGTATTCGTATTATTGATATTAATATTAATATTAATTATAATTAAATGAATATTAATTAGTTATTATTAGTATTATTAGTATTAATTAATATTAATAATATTAGAATTTAATAATAAAGGTTCGAAGGAGGGGAGGTGTTCGGCGAGGGTTCGGCGAACGCCGGCGGGGTTCGACGAACTTCGGGCGAAGGGTCGGGTCTTGCCTTTCCAAAGTGTTGCCCCCTTCTGTGTTGCCCTGAATTTCATTAGGGCGCCGACTGCCAATATTGCAATACGATTGAAGTGCAAATTGGAGGATCCCTTGGCTCAGTCGTGCCGAGATTGACTAGGCTCCCTGCGACCATGCTGCAGCCATGTTGGAAGCTTCCAGGCACTGCAGCCTGAAAGAGATTGGTGGAACTGTGTGAGAATGCCTCAGCAGAAGATGCAGGGCCCGCACAGAGGAGCAAAGAACGCCTTGAATCCTGTTGCGCGTGTCCAGATCTGCGGCTGTATGGTGGCGCACATGTCTGCGAGCACCTACCATGTTGGTGCTCGGGCAAACAAACACTGCGAGCCACCTCTTATCTGACTCCAGGGTGGAAGAAGAGGAGTGCAAGGTGCTGTGCGATATTGTACGATGGACGGCCTGTTGGGATAGCTGATGATCGAAGGTCAAACCTGCATGACACTGACACTCAGTGGCCAGCAACGCGCAACGCAACATCCTTCAAAGCCAAAGGCCCGGCAGCAGTGTCCCTTGCAGTTCGGTTGCAGGCGAATTTGTGGCGGAGCAATCCAGAACTCTGCCTGTAAAGCGCTGGAATAGATCATGGGAGCATCATGGGGCCTGGGATCCGGGTCCTCCCAGGGCGCCCCCCCGCACAAAACTGAAACCCATAAAAATCATCACAATCATACAGCAGATTGTGGTCAGAGTTGCACAACCCAACTGCCTATACGAAAGCGTGTCAGCCGGGCCCCATACTTCTACTTTCCACTTACAGGGTCAAGCATTCAGCAAGCCCCGACTTCCACGCAGAACATTTGCGTGGAGCGATGTTTTAGGAATTCACAATGCGCACTGTGTCAGAAGGTGCTCGGCACAAATAATCCCCAAACACGCGAGCTCAGCCGTTTTTACTGGTCTCGATCCGTGGCGCGGGTATCACCGAAAGAAAGCAGATCCCTGTTGTGGTCAACCATCACCTGTCTGATTTCTCTCTCCCTGGTCGCATCATAGTGGAACCAGTATGCATGTCAGCAAGTAAGCGCAAACGACTTCGGTGTCGCGGACCTTTTGTCTTTGGACTTCATGAACCATCTCCCGCCGCATCCGTGTTCGCCTCTTTGCTACCGCATCCAAGCCGTGCAACGGCCCCTGGCCGCCATTAGTTGCCCCACCTTCCACCATCACGCTAAGCCGGAAGCGAAGCCAAACGAGGACAGAACAAAGGAGGTCACAAATCTGAAGCTCCCTCGCGCACGCTTCTCAACCTCCCCATATTTCTGCCTACATCTACCTACAAGAACGGTTCGTTTTCTGGCTTTGTCCTTCAGTTAGGTGCTTGAGAGTTAATTCAGCAAAACAAAAAACACGATGATACCGCGTTGTCTCCAAGAGACCTGTTCAGCGTTCTGCCCCCCCCCCCCCAGCAACCACAAGACCGCGTGTTGTTCAGTTTCTTGACCCTTGCAGTCGCAAAGTCTCCCAGGCATGCTGCGAACGGAAGTCCACAATTAGGCACCCTGCGGTATTCATGTCGGATACGTATGCTCGGCCTGCAGCCCATCCAACTGTGCTATGATGAGTTTGATCCAGCGAAGCACCTTCCAAGCACTCGCCAATCTCAAGGTATGAATCCTCAGGCTTGATGACAACAATGCAACATTGCCGGCTCGTCTGTAAAAAACATCACATTGTCATGTCACTGTCGCCAGTCCTCACGCGCACCAACGACCTTGATGCTGCGACGGAATCCACCAGTCTCGAACGAATGCTGTAATTTGGTGCACCTGGCATTAGGCACACAAGTGGTATATATATATATATATATATATATATATATATATATATATATAAGCAACACTTGCGCCAACCGAGCGCTGCGCTCAATTGCATAGAATGCCATGACACCGCGGTAAAGCATTGGCCTCGATCACATGACCCAGGCCATCGAGGTTGCACCAAGCCTTGCGCCCTTGATACTTTGATTGATCTGAGTTCCTGTATGGCGCAGCTTGTATGGGTATAGTTAGTGACGAGTGGCGAGGCATTGTGGCAAAGGGCGTCGCTTAACCACTTAACCAGCTCAACCATTCAAAGGGTGGTAGATGCGCAAGAAACTCCATCTGAGCAACAGGCTTCTCCAAAACCAATATTGCATGCCCTGCAGATATGGCGGAGTACGGCGGCTGGCTCAAGATCATCAGTACGTCACCCTCGTCCAGACACGGACACTCCTCAGCAAAAGGAGTTCCTGAAGAACTCCATGCACTTCGATCCTGAAACTGCCCAAGCCCCGCAGCAACGGCAACACTGAGGCAGGCGCACGAAGATACCTCACACCCTCTAAGAGGTTGTCTTGCATCGCGGTCTGGCAATGCAAAATTCTGGCAAGTAAACCTGTGATTCTGGTTGCAGAAATTCGCCGAGACATGGCCTGGAAGAGCTCATCGAGTTTCTCCTTCGTAGCGTCAAGGAGTGAGGGAAATACATGTTGCATTATCCAGCAAAAGAAGAACAAACTGTTCCTGCGGCACGTGCCACGCTGACTCCCAAACCTGCCAGCGGGCAAACAGCTTCTGCGGGAAGAGTAGCAGCGTGCATGCAATGAGGGGCGAAAACCGACATACGCCGATACGCCGATATGCCGATACGCCGATACACCATTACGCCGGTCTCGTCGCACTCCCCCGCTGCCCCTCAAAGGGTGATATGTCAAGATGCCGACACACCGCCCGGCGCCCTCCTGATACGTGGATACTCCTACACCGATACACCGACACGCCGAGACACCGACACGCCGGTGCGCCGAGACGCCGGCACGCCGATATACGCCGGTATACGCCGATATGCCGATATACGCCGATATACGCCGATACACCGACATGCCGACACACCGAAACGCCGATACGCCCATCCTCCGACACGGTACGCCGATACGCCGCCACCCCGGGACGCCGACACGCCGGTGCGCTGGCACGCGGGTTCGCCGGCACGCCGGCGATGTTCGCGGATAGGCCGACACCCCGATGATCGGAGATATACACCATGATGCCCGTTACCCTGACTGGCACCCCTCCGCGTCCCCATGACCCATTGAAGACACCTTAGCAAAAGAGGCCTAGGATTTTCCAGACCTGCTTTGAAAAAGAATGGATACGCTGATGCCCCGCTCGCCCCGTGCTTGTCCCGTGGCCCCCCCAACAACCCAAGAAGATGTCTTAGCAAAAGAGGCCTAGGCATTTCTGGGCCTGCTCTGGAAAAGGCCGATATACCGATACCCCGGTCGCCCCGTGTTTCCCCCCTCCCTTATACTGTCAAAGGCGTGTCGGCGTATCGGCGTATCGGTGTATCTGTGCATATGTCGGTGTATCGGTGCATCGGTTTATCGGTGTACCGGTGTGTCGGAGCGGTATCGGTGTATCGATGTACCGGTGTGTCGGAGCGGTATCGGTGTATCGGTGTACCGGCGTATCGGAGCGGATATCGGTGTATCGGTGTAGGGTCGGTGTATCAGTGTATAGGTGTATCGGTGTACCAGTGTATCGGAGCATCGGTGTACCGGTGCATCAGTGGGTCGGTGTATCGGTCGGTGTACCGGTGTATTGGAACGGTGGGCCGGTGTATCGGTGTATAGGAGCTGCATCGGTCTATCGGTGTATCGGTGTGTCGGAGCGGTGGGGTCGGTGTATCAGTGTAGCGGCGTATCGGTGCATCGGTGCATCGGAGCCGTGTATCGGTGTATTGGAGCGTTGGGTCGGCGTATCGGTGTATCGGTGTCTTATTGTTTTTCTGCCCCCCTGGGCGGTCGCACAGAAGAGTAGCGTGAAGCTTGGACAAGCCAACCGGGGCCCAACAAAAACAACAGACTTATCACCAAAACCTAGGACCGAGAAGGATTCATATATGGATCTATGATCCATCAGGAACGATTCCAGATGAGCAGTTCCGTGGCAACGTGGGTGCCTCAGGCGCTCGAGCAACTGCGTCGCGCGGCGCATGAGCCTGAACCAGAGTTCTCTCCCTGCACATTTGACGGCCACGTCGACGCTTATCGACACTTGTCAACAGCCAAGCTCCCTGCCATAGTCTGAAGCGGCTCGAGTGCCCTCTGCAACACAAAATGAGTTTGCTGCTGCATGGCACACAGGATCTAAGCAAGCCTGATTGCAACTCGATGCAACTTGGCAATCAATTATCACTTCACAAGGAACAACTGCGAATAGCAACTCCCAAGCGGACAAGCTTTTTGTCAGGCACCGGCCTGTCTTCCACAGGGACGGTCAATGCCTCCCGCACATGGACAGTCTGGGTCCAATGGAGTCAACAGTCGATGGATCGATCCACTAGCAGCAACAAAAAGCGTGCCGCCGCAGGCAGTGCTGCAGAGGACCTTCAGCATAGTATCTCTCATACTTCAGGCAAACAAGACTTGCGCGACATGGAGATTACGATGACTTGAAAGCCTTCGTAAGGCCTTCGCCGCTCTTCCTCCGTGCAGCATTGACAGCTGCTATTGGCCTGGATGGCTTGGGGTATTGGAAATCACGTTCCACAGCTTCTATCAAGACATCCTCATCAGTACACATTTGTAAATGTTTAATGCTTGACGGTGAGGGCTGGGAATGACAAAGACCAGGAGTACTCATGTGTGAAAGTGACTAAGTGCGCCGGGTACCGGTAATAGTAACCTTGCCGAGGGAACATCAGGGGACTGCATGTCATCTAGAGCTCCAAGTGAGGCTCGCCGAGATCCCCACAAGTGTTTGGGCAGCTCCTGGCAGCGCTTCAGAGCTGTCAGTGTTTCAGCATTGTGTTTGCAGGGCCCCGACTTCGGGCGCATTGGCAACATGCTCTCAGCAGATTGTAAACTCCTGACAACCAAGTCTCTTCAGAGTCAGGTTACGCAAAAACAGAACCAGGTAAGAAGCACCTCGAACGGCTGCCATTAACATGGCAGGCCAGACAGAACTAAAGGCCGTTTAGGCCTCAAGGGAGACTGGTGCACTGCCCGGCTCTCAGAGCAAAAGAGGACGCAACGCATGGCAGCACGTGCAGCACGATGCACGTCGAAACTCACCTAGTGGCTGTGATCATTTCAGAAAATCGTTCGGCACGTGGGAGGGCATTTGGCGGCACTTAGTTGTAATAGCCCTTTTCCTTCTCGCTTGGCTTCTCCATGAACTGCTTTGGTAAAACTGCTGGCCTCAGAGGTCTCGAATCGGAAAGATGAAAGTCTTCTTCAGATCTCCAGCATCTCCCGTGCCATTTTGCGCCGGCCAACTTTCTCGCAAGAACTGATGCCAGCACTGAAACTTACAAGGTTAAGTGAAGCCAAGGAGGAAATCGACATTGCAAGGAATACCGCGATGTCCTCTATGCCATTGATCACCCTTCTCGCTGAAGCTGCTCTCGTTTGGCTGAATCTGCTCCCAGGGCCCACATTTCTCGCAGGTCCTGATGGACCCACAACCCGCTGCGTCCTTCACCTGCGCTTTGCAGCCCTAGGCGGTTCTTTGCTGCCTTCGGGCTTTCACGACTTGCAAGCAGCTCAGGCGGTGTTGCAACCGTCGCGTTCGTTCCTGTAGCTTCCGCCGCTCTGGGTTGACTTCCACCTCATGCCAGAAGTCATTTGAGGAAAATTCGACGCTATAGAAATTCGATCGTATACTTTTTTTGCTGTTGGCATCTATACTTGTTTGCTCTCGGCTACTATTCATGGCGTTGTAAGGCTTTGCTTGGGACGCTTACATGTTGAGGTCTGGGGCCCGAAGAGGACCACGAAAGCTAGAGGGCAGCAGGAGCGGGTGCAGCTGCGCGCTCTTTTCGGACCCCCCCACTGAGATAGTTGCAGTCCTGTTGCTTTGCTGTCAGTTCATGTACAGTTCATGTGACACAAATGCATGTTGTTGTTGCGGCTCTCAAGGTTCTGGGGAGTTAGTACTCAAGTAGCGCGTAATGGAAAAAGCTCGCCTGTCTACTGTATGCGGAAGTGAGGTAGCGCTCGGGCCAATCTCCCCCCACCCCTCCCCCGCGCTCCCCCACCCTCACCCCTTCCCCCCCCCATTGATCCAACACTTCGAGAATTGAGCTGGCGCCACATAGCAACCCAGCTGGAAGACTACTACCGCAAACTCCAAGAGAGCTAGCTTTTGTGACTTGTTGAAGACGGTGACTTCGAAAAGTTTACTCCCGTACCCAAAGCTTACGTTTTCGACATGTTGGTGGACAAAAGGCGTACCGAAACGTCGAAAGGAAAAGCGTGCGCCGGCACCAAGACACCAAGCACCCAGCCGTACGCGGATACTTTTTTCCATACACCGTGATATCTATCCCTGATGCCCCCTGACAGAAAAAAAACATTCCGACGCGCTTGCAGGTAGTGCTTCTGGGCTAAAAATTGCATGGAGGGACGAGCACTGACATCGTGGCACATTCTGACTGCGCTTAAGTTGGGGTTTACGGCAGAAGGCCTTAGAAGCCGAAAGCGTTGCCATTAAAACTCGGGACATGTGGATTTTGCAAGAAGAAGAACCCAGAAGGCAGGACAACTTTTTCGGATTGCATCCAGGCAACTTTCTCCCACGACTTTCGGCACCAGAGTGTCAAATCACTATATGCCTGCAAGCACTCGACCCAGCCATCGAACACGGATCCAGTCATGTCGAAGTAGTATGGGCCACCCACCAAATTGTAGGCTTTTACACGGCTTGTGGGATCAGGCTGCTGCGCTTCATGGCCAAGCCTGCAGGACACCACACTGAAAAAACTAATCAACCACGCAACCAACGCCCCCTTGGCCTTCCGGAGATCAGGCACCCAAAAGCCTGGGCACCGGGCATCAGTGTTTCCCAAACGCTGCTAAGGCGCACACCCATCACTGCGCGCATTAAGTCTCAATATCGTATCCCAGCGGCCTGCTGAGAAGCCGTCACGGAAGCTGCCTGTAAGACCAACGAATCCTTGACCTGGCTGTGTGGGCATGCGCTCTCCCTCTTTCTTTTTTCTGGGGCATGGGGGCCGAGACCCCGCAGCCGCATGTTGCGGCGGCTTGAAATTATGAAAGGGAGTATCTCTGTGACCCCAACGTCAAGGTGTACTGGTCACGACTTATTAACAGGTCAGCATCAACACACACACACACACACACGCACACATCTTGATTTCCCCCCAGACCTGGATCAAGTATCCCCTACAATGTACCACCCCGCCTCATCCCCGAACTGACCCCCAAAGCACGCACTCACTGCCTTGACCTCCCGCTCAACCATGAAGCCTGTCATGTCTCCCTCTCTCTTGCTCTCTCGAACTGCTGGCCAAGCTGCAGGAAGAAACTCAGACATTTGCACCATGAACCTCGTCAAACAAAAGCAGCGCGGGCGTCACCGAAAAGGCTAATTCAACTGAATGGCTCGGGATGGAGATGCTCGAAGCCAAGTTCCTCATGGCTGGCAAGGCGTGCGCTCTGGCTGTTTTCACCGCCCTGCACGCATTGTTTACATCCTGTCTTTGCTTATGGCGCATATGGCACCTGCATAAGAATAGCATACGCCCCATGATTCCCATGAGCGTCACCCGGTCATAGCTCAAAACGACACAGGTAGCTTTGCATGCCAATGTGTGCTCTGCAGCTTTTTCTGGGACTCCTGCTTGTCTCTTTGAGGCCTCTGACAAAGTTTGATAAAACCATCGGCGCCTGTGAGTTGGTTTGACAACCCGCCTCCCCGTTCCACAACCCAACATCGCCGTTGATGACCTGACCAGCAAGCATGCCGAGCCGAAAACAATAGAAGTTTCTGGATCTGGGCTGGTGACAATTTCCGGCTCCGGACCTGCACTTGACAAATCCCCGCGCAAGCATGCGCAAGAGCGCGCGAGTGCAACACGGGACATCAGGTGCATCAGGGCTTCTCTTAGGCTTGCGCCGCAGCCATCAGTGCACGAGGTAAGCCCTCAGGTCATCCCAGTGTACATTACGGAGTCAAGCATGATCAAGCTGATGTTCACCACATTCAAGCTCAGCTTCAGGCAACTGCCCGCTCCCTCCAACCACTGCCACTGCCAAAGCACCATGGTCGGATAATGTCAACGCATCTACTCGATTTTTCCAGCCGTTGCACAAAGACAACAGATTACCAGCAGAAACCACATGTCCTTGTAAGTTGTAAGCATTTTGAACATATGGCGTACAGGGAACTCCAACCATGATGTGTTTGTCTTTCTACACTCCCACTCTATGCTTGAACATTCAAGATGCAAAGAGGGATGTCGAATCAACTTCCAGGACCGTTGGGCATGTTTCTGGGGGTTGGGCACTCGAGGATACTCTGGGGTTGAGCAGTCCAGCTGTGGGGTTGAATCACCGGAGACCGGGCGAGGAGTAGACCGGGCGAGGAGAAAAGCTGAGTTTAAAGTCTAACTACCCCACACCGAGGGTGGGGAACAAGCACATTCCCTAAGAAATCACATCCCAGGCACGTCTATGGCAAGCTCGACAGCGGCATTGCCTCAAGTCTTGAATCTTCAATTTTTGAAAATACACGTAGTTCATATGGGATCGCAATCACTCAAGATGATGGAAAGCCCTCGTTGACGCATCACACGTGTTTTGTCTTAATACTTTAAAATTTGGCGGGGCCCTGGAACTCATAACTCTACCCGGATTCAGGCGCGCAGTGCTGGTGCGCAAGCTGGTGCGGGAGCTGGTGCGCGACTCGAATGATTCCAACATGTCATGGAGAGATATGGATGGCAGTGGTTCGTCTCCGTTCCATCGGGCCCTGACCCAACTGAGACTAATGAACAATCTGCTCTCGCGAGGCGAACTCACTGCGCTTGCGAACTCAGCGCATGCATCTTCCCTCGGCCCACCAATCGGCCATTTCGCGCCGGTTGAGGTGGGCGACCGTCATCTGATGCAATCGTCCTGCAGCTGGGAAGGTTGCCCATCATCAACAGAATGGTTCGGCACGGTTAGGCATGGACTAGACCAAGGTCACTGAAGCCAAAACGTCGATCATCACTCGGTAGCCGGGCATTACGCATGCAACAGTGCACAGGCATGGTTTCTTGAGTGTCGAGTTGTGGCGTCCAGTTTGTGGCTGCAACCTGATTCGTCCCGCCCTAACCCTGATCTTACAGGCTATCTGAAGCTCTACACAGGGTGCCACGCACGCAGGGCTTGGCCTCCTGGAACCGCAGAGTTTCACGGACCCCAAGGCTCTATGCCACTATGCACAGGCCCCAAAGGGAAAGTCTTCCCTGCAGTTTTCTTTTGCGGTGTGCAGCCGGGAAAGGCGAAGGCGTCTAAGTCCAAGCGATAGACGGCTCTCAAGGAATCCTTGTGAGTGGAGTCAAAGAGGATATTACATCCGAAGCGGTCCCAGTGTGGATGCAGATCGCAGCGGGTGGAGCTTGGCCCCTGACCACCTTCCCGGTAATAGCCGAGCAGATAAACAGATTCTCCGCGCCGCTCCTCCACCAAAACCTGCCAAATCAGTCATGCAACACTCTGCGAAGAGACTTCTCCTCTCTACGAGGAAAGGGGCTCTGCACCTTCTTGAGCTGGTAGGCGTCCGGGTACGTGTCCGTGAGGATCCATTTGTTGTCGGGAGACAAATTGCAGTGGCCGTCCGTGCCTTTCTGCCAGCTCAGCTGCCTCACCGAAGCCTCACGAACCGATGGCCAGGCCAAACCCTCCATGAGACCCCCGAATCGCCCAAGCCATGCCTTGAACTCCACCTCGAAGGTGCCCAAGGCATCGCAGGAGACCAGAAATCCCCCGAAGAAGTGGTGAGAGCCTGAAAACAGGGGTGCCGGTGGAGGAGCTGGAAGTTTCCACTTCCCAAGCGACCGAAAGCAGAAAGCCAGCCAAAGCCCTAAACACCTCGGGCCCTAATAAACCAAAAGAACATCAGACTCCGAAACCCTTCCACGGCAGCGTCCCAGGAGCCGT